AAACTAAAAAAAGCTTAAAAAATTTATTATCTACAAAGAAAAATAAATCAAAAGAAATAGAAGGTAAATAAAATTGTTAACAATTAGGGACATAAAATAAACATTCTGTTCAACGCGTAGTCCCGCTCTAGTTATTGTTTATAATAGAAAGAGATTTGCGAAAGTTTAGCCACTGGGCAGGATTGCGACTTCCTCGTGGCTATTGCTAGGCTCTTTCGCTCACCACATACAGGAGCTACACCACTGAGATAGCGGGGCATCGACTAATGCTTTCTCTTTTTTTAGATCGTTTAACCATCGTCTAAACGCTTTAAATGCTCTAGGTGAATCATTTTTACAATGTTCACGAACCTTCTGTTAGCCCAGGTCTTTCTGTCGCATCTCAGCGTTAGGGAGGGGTGTCTCTTACGCTCCCGGCAAAAATTTTGAGAATTTTCCTTTAAAGAATGCATCCTTTAAAAAATCTAATTTTTTATTAAAATAAGTTATAATAATATATTTTTCATGTGAAAAAAACACCCCTCCCTAACGCTGTGAAAAAAACAATATTTGCTGATTTTAGGGTTCGAACATAGCATTTAATTATTTCGCTCTCAAAATTCCCAGACTTAAGGGACGGAGTTCAACCCATTTAATCAACCTCCTATAACGAGAAAATTAATTTTTTTAATTGTCTAATATGCGAGATGAACAGTATTTTTTTAATCTAATGTGCATTGACGATATTTTAAGAGCATTATTTTTAAATTCCTATTAAAATTCTTTTCAAATTCTTAAGAAAGCTTATCGAAAAAATAAAAAAAATATTTTTTATTTTAAGAAGATATCAACGCATATTTAAATTCTGAATATTATGTTAGTGATATAAATATTTTTAATAATTTAAATTTACTTGTATATTATAAAAAATTGGATTGTATTGCTAAAAAAGATATAAGTATGGGACTTGAGCTGGAAAAGTCGATTAAAAATAGCGAAGATAAATTTAAAAATGGATTTAATGAATTATATAAAATATATGCATTAAATATTGCGTTCAAATCCTTATGCAAATTTAAAGAATTTTCGGTAATTTTATTTTAAAATAACAAGATATTTTACATTCACGCAACAAAACTGTACTGATATTTCAAGCTAATATACTACATAGCAGGGGTATGCCGAAACGGATTTTAAAAAGCGAAAGGCGAAATTAAATTTAAAAAGTGAAACGCGAAACGCAAAAGTCCAAAAAATGCGAAAATCCGCGAAAGGCTAAACGCGAAACTCGCACACACCTGCTACATAGCTTTTTTCACGACTTTCGATTTCAAACATTTAGTGATTTTCACGTCATCCATTTTACGAAGGGTTTTTCATGACACGGATATCCGATCCGAGATCAAATCGAAAATTTCCTGATATCCAGAATTATTTGATCCGAATGTTTTAATCAGCTCCTATCCAATAAACACTATATATTTGTAATGGGTTCGATCGCTAATAATTATTTATAATTTTCGTAATAATGATTTAATAACGATTTATAGTCCTCCAAGAATGAAAGCCTTCAGAAGAAATTTTTGATAAGCAAAGGAACTTGGCAAAACCAAGGAAATAGAAATGAAGATTTCGAAAAAGAAATATACAAAACCGAAAACTTAACAATCAATGAAGACTATTTTAAAATGTCTGAATTAATTCCCGTTGAAATTGAGCGTTATTCTGATGAACATGAAGGAATAACAGAAATAAATGTTGTTCCGATTGAAAATGTAAGTTTTTCGAGTTTCTTAAGTTTATTGGGGTTTTGGGTTTATTCTTTATTTTCCAAGCGAAACGAAGCAAATTTCATTAGAAAAGATACAATCAAAGCATTTATTTAACTAGCGGAGGGGGTCGCCCTTCGGGCGAGCCCCTTCCGCTAGCAAAATTCTAAACATTACAATTCTAAACCTTTATCAACTATTAACTAAGATTTTCAACCATTAACTATTAATATCTATGTCAACTATTAACTATTAGCTAAGATTTTCAACTTTCACTATTAACTATTAATATCTATTTCAACTAATCAATCTTCAAATATTAACTATTAACAATGATTCAACTATTAATTAAGATTTTCAACTTTTACTATTAACTTTTAATATCTATTTCTCTACTATTAACTATCAATTTTCAACTATCAATTTTCAATTAACTATTAATAATGATTCAACTATTAACTATCAATCTTCAACTATCAATTTTCAATTAACTATTAATAATGATTCAACTATTAACTATCAATCTTCAACTATTAACATTGATTCAACTATTAACTAATATTTTGAAATTGCAATTATTAATATCTATGTCAACTATTAACAAAGATTTTCAACTTTCACTATTACCTATTAATATCTATTTTTCAACTATTAACTATCAATTTTCAACTATTAACTATGTCACCCATCTATATCAATCATTACCGTTTTTTCACTCATTGTGGGACCGTTTTCTCAAGCCTATTGAACACTATATTCTTTTTTCTATTGACGGGCTCTTTTATCTTGTTTATTAACGAATCCTTTTCTCAAACTATTTGACAGACACTTGTCTCTTGCTTGTTGCTCGAAATCTCTACTTCCCACTATTGTCGACCCTTTTCACCCATTTACGGGACCCTTTTTGCTCACCATTATTCCAACCATTTCCAGTACTCTACTTTAGTACTACTCTACTTTAATAGTTAATAGTAAAAGAACTTTTTTACTATATATACTACAACTGTTATACTACAACTGTTAGTCACTCTAGTACTCTCAACTATTTAGTGTCACCCAATGTCAAACTCTACTATCAACTATTTAGCATCACGCTATGTCAACCTTGCTAGTACTATCAATTATAAGCTATTTAGTATCACACAATGTCAAACTTTAGTACTCTACTTTAGTACTACTCTACTTTAATAGTTAATAGTAAAAGAACTTTTTTACTATATATACTACAACTGTTAGTTAATAGTTAATAGTAAACACAACGCCAAACTGAGCAAAATTCAAAGCAGCGGACAAACAAAGCATTCTAAAATTTAATATAGGATTACTATCAACTATTAACAACACTAACTATAAGCTATTAACAACCCTTGTCACTTAACATTTGTCACTCTTATATCTCAGTCATTACCGCTTTTTTCTCACCCATTGTGGGACCGTTTTCTCAAGACTATTGAACGACTATTTTCTCTTTCCTATTGACGGGATCTTTTATCTTGTATATTGGCGAACCCTTTTCTCAAGCCATTTAACGGACACTTTTCTCTTGCTAATTGCTCGAAATCTTTTCTTCCCAGCATTGTCAGACCCTTTTCACGCAGTTACAGGACCGTTTTCGCTTACCATTATTTCAACCATCTCCAGACCCTTTTCACCCAGTTACAGGACCGTTTTCGCTTACCATTATTTTCAACCATTTCTAGACCCTTTTCGCCCATTTACGGGACCCTTTTTGCTCACCATTATTTCAACCATTTCCAGACCCATTTCACCCAGTTACGGGACCATTTTCGCTTACTATTATTACAACCATTGCCATATTCTTTTCACCCATTTTCGGGACCTTTTCGACCACCATTATACCAACTATTACCAGACCTATTTCACCCAATCAAAACCTCACAATAAAACAAACTGTTGGACACTCGCGTAGTTTAAATAAAAGATCAGCACTGAAAAACAAACTGTTGGACACTCGCGTAGTTTAAATAAAAGATCAGCACTGAAAAACAAACTGTTGGACACTAACTTTGTTAAATAAATGATCGCTTTGTTTTTGAATCTAAAAACAATTTCCAAATAAAACAAATTTTGAAAAACAAAACAAAAAAACAATCAAAACACATCTTAAATACAATTAACATAAATACAAACAATTAATAAAAGATTTTGTTTTTGAACCTAAAAACAAATTTTAAGTAAAACACCTTTTAAAAAACAAAACAAAAAATCAATCAAAACACATCTTAAATATAATTACAAACAAAAAAATAAAAAATTACAGCAAAAAAAACAAACCAAATTCTAAAAAATTCACATTCTTTCTTTACTTCTCTAAATACACACTATTTTCTATTTGGGATATTTTGTCATTCTTAATTAAAAAAATAAACACAACGCCAAACACAGCAAAATTCAAAGATGCGGACAGACAAACAACAATTCTCAAATTTAATATAGGATCCCTAAACATGGTTATTTTCATTTCCATGATGATTCTTTGAGATCCCTTTCGGGGGAGGGATCTTTGGATCACTTTTTAAAGTTAATTACATTAAAAAGTCTGACTCACAAAATATTTAGTTTAATGATCACGATTTGAATTTACATCCTTGGTTACTGGAAAATATTTACGATTTCTGCAATTTTAAAATTCCTACACCTGTTCAGGTTATTTTGTTCTGATTTGTCTTAATTTTTATTCTAATTAGAAATATACTATTCGTATATTGACAGAATCCGAACAGAATGATTTGATAACTGTGGCTAATACAGGCTCTGGAAAGTTGGCATTTTTATTTTTAATCAAAAGCTTAACTATATATTTAAGCAAAAGTAATATTTTTTCGTCATATTTATATGGTCCCCTTTTAGAATACTCTCTAAAATTATTTTCTACTATTTATCCATGAATACCGAATGCCTCTATGGTAAGACCACAATAATACAAAACGTTCTTAAATAAGGTTGTCGGTTCCTTGGAAATCTTCTGTTATCCTGAACCGGAACCGATAACCGAACCGAAAATTTTCTGTTATCCGGTCTTTTTCGGTTCCGGATATTCTCAAACACATTAATTCTTTAATTTTTAAACGTTTTTTCTTTCATTTCGTATTAAATTTAAAAAATACACATTTTGTGTGATTCTTTAGAGTTATTATTTTTTTAATAAATCAACAAATATTAGTTGAATAAATTTTTAATAAAAAATATTTTTATAGAACGGCTGCATTTCTCATTCCTTTGATAGACAGAATGTTGAAAGCTGGGAATAAAGGAAAAGGACCCAAAAAAGTTGTTAACTATACTAAATAAATTAAAATTTAAAAAATTTTTAGAGTAAAGCTGACAAGGCTTTTTACCCCAAAGCTCTGATACTTTTGCCAACAAGAGAACTCGCAGACCAAACATACAGAGAAGTTTTGAAATTAACATACCGTACACCTCTTGTGCCAGCTCTTGTCCACGGGGGTCAAAATAATTTTGAAACACAACTTGCTAACCTTAAGGTTTGTTTAATTTTTAATGAGAATATGCTTAAGACCATGCCAGGGCATTTGGGGAGTGGACAATTAGCGCCGCAGGCGAGAATTTTGGAGAGCAGTAGACAAAATTCTCTTTTTTGGTCATCTCTTGCCTCATTTAAAAAATTTTTATATTTTGCCACTTTTGATATAGGTATTTCAAAATAAATTTACAATATTATAATAAAATTAGAAAGCTTAAACCAGTGCTGGGTATGGCTCCGGGAGCAGGCTCCGGCGGAGTATATAAAATTCAATTTATAATCAGTAGGGAGCGGATTTTTATTGAAATATATCTTTTTTTTGCAAACACGCTTTGTCGAGAGGAGCCCAAATATGCCATTAGTTTCTCGATAGTGTGATTCTGAACAAAGTTGTATTTCAATATATTTCAATATTTTGCCAATTTTCCCGTTATTTCAAATTTTTTTACTTTTTGCAAATCATTTCAATATTTTTGCATATTTTTACCAAAATTTTGGGATTCTTGATTAATTTTAGGAAAAAATTGAAGAAATCTGGCAGTTTAACTTTCAAAATTCTCAAAATTTTAGCCTGTGGCGCTGAAAATGGAGAATTCTGGCTTATTAAATGGGGTAATTCTTACTGGGAGATTGTACTTACACTTTTTGTACTTACACCTAGAGTACGTCGTGTACCGAGTAATTGGGAAAAACCTAGATCGAGTAATGCTGAGTTTGAAAAATCCGTGTTCTAGTACGAGTTCAACATTTTAGGCCACGTTAGAGTACGAGTAAATCGAGTAACGAAAGAATAAAATACCCCAAAATGTCCATTCCGTAATTAACCCATCCCAATATCTCTAACATTCTTTTTTCCATATTTTCAGTCTTGAAATCACTATTTTTTCAAGCACAAAAGTTTTCAAGCACAAAAACAGTTTTTTTTTTATTAAATTTCTACTTTTTTTTTTAAGTTTAGCCACTAAGATAACAATAATTTATTTCAATATTTCGCTTATTTTTGACATTTTTGTCAATATTTTGCCAATTTATTTCAATATTTTATGGCCATATTTTGAGATTTTATTTCAATAAAAATCCGCTCCCTAATAATCAGTGTATTATTAATTTATTTATATCTTAATCTAAGTAGAATACTTGATAATACATTAAATTTTCTTTGTTTCTAATTTAAGCATGGATGTGATATACTTGTTGCTACACCTTTGCGACTTATACATATGATGCTAAATATTAATTTGTCTGAAACCGCGTTTTTGGTATTAGATGAATCTGATAGATTACTTGGTTAGTGATTAATAGGGATCAGATTTTTAGGTTGTAAAGCTATAAAATGGGTGACAATTCAAGGTGACATTAAAACCAAAATAGGCAACAAAAATGATAAAAACAAGAGTAAATTAAAAATAGAGTTGGACAAGTCGAGATCGATATCGATATATCGGTCTCGAATATCGGTCTTTTTCCAATATCGATATCGGTTTTATAGATATCGATCTCGAAATCGATACCGATATATCGACCCAAATTCGACCGATATCGATATTAACTTTACACCCCTAAAGATTGCTTTTTTCTAAGAAATGGAAGAAATCTGGCCACTTGCCCTTCCAAAATTATAAAAATTTTCGCCTGCGGCGCTGTAAAAGAAAGAAAAAGCTTTAACTTTTGGAATTGCCTTAACTTTTCCTAACCCCTAGATCTGGAAATATGGCGGATCTTTTAAATGGGGGATATCAAGCTTCTTGGCTTTACGAAATTATCAAAAATACGCTTGCACCGCTGTAAGTAGGATCGTCGCTGTAAGTAGGATTTATCATCCTCTAGGATCGTCACGGGAGATAAAAATCCGAAATAAACTATTTAGGTGTAACAAATGATACATGGGATTTGGGAAGATTAGAGATTTTTGGCTTAAGGATCTTCCAAAAATTTCAAAATTTTCGCCTGCGGCGCTAAAAAAGAAGATTTTTGGAGTGTTGCGCCGGTAGTTCCTATTCCGGTAGACCAGAAGTTCCGGCATTTTTTGTTAAACATTTTTCTCTGTTCTCTTTAGGTTAGTATTAAGGTTAGTATTATTATTTCAACGAATTTTCTGGATTTGAGGGGTAATAAAAATTTTTTTTTTAAATATTGGTTAATATCGAATATCGATCTCGATATCGACTCAAAACTTGCATATCGATATCGATCTCGACCATGTCAATATCGACCAATATCGATATTGGTTTTCTCCTAAAATATCGATATCGTCCAACTCTAATTAAAAATCATTAGTTAGCATTACAAACTTAGTTTTCATTCTGATTAGAATACGGTGCCAATCTTACTATTCTATCGAATATTTAAAATTTTAAGATAAAAACTTTGCTGATCAGACAGAAGAAATAATTAACAAACTTCCGGCAAAAGAACACAGAACAACCGGTTTATTTTTAGAAACTTTTTAAGTACAAAATAAATTTCTAGCAATGTTTTCGGCAACGTACGATGATAACGTTGTCGGATTGGTCGAACAATTTCTTAGACAAGATCATGTATGTATTTAAATATTATGAAAATATTATAGTTGCTAAAGTCTGTTATGGTTTATACTGTTTAAATTTATAGTTTGTAATCTTTTAAAATTTATTAACAAATATTTCATTTGTAAAACTTAATGAGAGGCTAAATTCCAATGGCTTAAGAGTGACCATTTATATTAATAAATTTAGTAGACAATAATGATTCATTTGACGGAGCGCTCAAATCGTTCGAAAGTCTCTTAAAGCAATTTATTAAAATAATTAAACGTCAAAGTATTTGTTTTGAAAAGTAGAATTAAAAAAAAGACAAGTACTTTGTATACCCTGAGGTCAAACCGTCCCTAGTCTTGAAATCAGTAATTTATTACTTATATCATCTAGAACAAATTTTTAATACGCGCCTCAATCTAAATTCTTTATTTAGAATTTTTTGAAATTTAGTTTTAATTTAGAAATACAAAATTATATATTTTCGTATTACTGTACCTCTTAAATTTGCCATAATATGAATTTGGCAATTCCTCAAATTTTATACAAAATTAAATATTCATAATTTTAAAGGTTAAATTGACTGTCACCAACCCACCAAAAATCGACCACCAAATCTACTGGGTTAAAGAAACAGAAAAATATAACTGGCTTAAGCACGTTCTTAGCAATAACATCACAAATAATTCCAAAATTGTTGTTTTTGCAAACAAAAGAACAACTTGTGATGCAGTAAATTTTTTAATATCCTTATTTACTCGGCATTAAGTTTTGCCATATTAGAAAACAAAAAACAATACTTTAAACATTCTTGAACATGCATTTTTTATGTAACAACATTTTCATTATTATAATCCATAAACCAAGGCCATTTAACTAGATAAATAAAAATTTTAATTTAACTTTTTAAAATAATTTTAGCTTCAATCTAATTTGGCCAATGAAGGGTACCACGATTGTTTAGCATTTCATAATAATATTGGAGGTCAAGCAACAAGAAAGGAAACTATGGCGAAATTTATAAAAGGAGATATACGACTTTTAATTGCTACGGATGTTTTAGGAAGGGGTGTGGATATTGAAGATATTACACATGTTATCAACTATGATGCTCCTGAATGTTGGTATTTTTATTTTTGCAAATCTCACACGAATATTTTCCCCTTTTTTGGATAACCATCTAACAGACTAGGACAATGCTTCTCAATTTGATCTATGATAGGTTTAGTCTCTGCTTCTGTGAGGACAGCCACGCACCCACGAAAGTTCTGAAGAGACCCATCATGGATAAAAAGAGAATCAGTGTCCTAGCCTGCTGCTACATGTTATTTAGTCATGCTATTATTGAAAATTGTTATTGTATTTTTCTATCGAGATAGCGGTTTGCTAGTTACAGTCATATGGCACCACTCTGATTAGAAATGTAACACATTTTTGGGTCTAAAATTTGATTATACAAATAACATTTATTTGTAATAACTCATCGAGCTTAGTCGACTGACATTACAGGGTGACACAAAAAGGATGTCCACTTATTTTAACACGCAACTTTATTTAAAATAAAAATAGCAACAAAATAAAATTGAATATGATAGAGAAAAAACTGGAGATGAAATATGTACAATCTATGAGTTTTGAGGTGCCCACCCCTGGCTTTGAAATATTAATTAAAACGCTTAGTGAAATTTTTGCACCTGGCACGCACCTCCTCGGCTCATTTTATGTATTTCATCTCCAGTTTTTCTCTATCATATTCAATTCGTATTTTGTTGCTATTTTGATAGTAAATAAAGTTACGTGTTAAAATAAGTGGGACATCCTTTTTGTGTCACTCTGTAAAATAAGTTGAAAAAAAGTGTGATAACGCCCATTTAATTAACACTTATTTTAGCTTTTCAAAATTATATTCACCGTGTTGGACGTACCGGCAGAGCGGGTAAAGAAGGTTAGTTAATATTTAATATATTGACTAATACATATTTTAAAATAAAGGATTAGCAATAACATTTGTCAATAAAAAAACTAAAATTAATAAAAATTTGTTTGAAGCAGCTAAGGAAAATGAGAATATTAAATTACCACAAGAGTTGATTGAGTATGTAATCAAGGGACAAGAAAAAATATCAGAAGAAATTAGTCAAGAAGCAAGTGGAAGTCAATCTGGATATGGCCACCAACATGGATATCAAACATATTATGGAAATGTACAAAGCTATATACCTGAAGTTGGACATTCAATCCCTGAAGATGAGGGAGGAATTTTTTATAATCCGACATATCCCCACTAAAATTTGCCTGGCATTATTTTCCTAGGATGGGGATTATTTTAAAACGGGAAGGGGATTATTTTTTATTTTTAAAACGGTATAGGGCAGGGATCGAGCCGACCCGATTCCCAAAAATCGTGAATTCCCGACGATTTTTGGCTCGTGAATTCACGATTCGCAAAATGAGAATTTTGTTTTCTGTCGGCGCGATCCCTGGTATAGGGTTTTAAAATTTTATGGGTTAACTAAATATTTAAAACAGGGCTCTCATTCGTACATTTTTAAAAGTATTCTAAATCGACCTCCATACTTACGAAATTGAATTTGTACTTTTTTGAAAGTATCTACTTTTAAATCAACATTTTTGAAAAAACGAAGAAATCTGGCTTAAGGACCTCAAAAAT